TGGTCCAACATAATGGCTTCTCTGACACAACATTAAAAGTACAGTCCTGTGCCTGCCTGCTTACAATTAAATAAATAGAGCAGCACGGCAATGGAACCATGACCTTGAGAGGTGGCGAGGGCCCCAACGCTGAAGGCATTCAAGGGAAATTTAGACAACACCCTGGCAGATCTCCTTTGATTTGTATTCCTGCATTGCATGGGAGGAGGGTTGGACTCAGTGGCCTCGGAGGCCCCTTCCAGCTTCACTGTTCTATGATTTGAAGGACTGCTGACTTCATTGTGGCTTATTCCCAGGCAAATGTGCAAACTATAGTAACATAAAGCATTTGAGTAGAAACCGTAGCCCCTCCTGTTACACACAACTCTCTCTCTCTCTTTCTCTCTGACTGTTTTATTTTCTCCCAAGCTATGCTCTACACATTTTAAAAGCTGTAAGATTTTGGGCTACCTCAGTAAAGGCTGGCTATTGCTCTAGAGGTGAGTGAATGTCCAGTGATTATAACAAGGCCTGGAAAAACTCAAAGATCATTAAAGATCCTCTTTTCTTTCTTTTTCTTTTTTAATTGTTCCCAGACATCCTGGAATTAGATTTCAACGTACTCTCCTTTAGGGCACAAACTCCATTTCCTGCAGTGATGTGTTTTGCTTCATTTTACTTTTTTCTGCTCAGGTTAAAATCCATTCTAACTTGTTTACACAGGGGGTCTCTCTGTATTGTTTTTCCCGAGACATGGTTACATGTTTCTGAGGCAAGATTAACCATGGCAAGGTTAATCCAGAGTGAGATTTGTTTCATCCTTTTGATGTGAGAAACCCACGGAATGCTGAAGATAACTTGAAGAGCTTCTCTTTGAAATCTTTTTTGTTTTGTCTTCAAATTATATCTGTGTAATGGGAAAATGTACATATCCATTACCTTTAACAACTGAGTCTTCCAGATGCTGTTAATATTAATATTTTATTGTTCCTTTCTCATTTTCTCATCCCCCCCCCCCTGTTTTAAATGATTTTCTAAAAATTGCTATATTGTTATATGCATTGCCCTGTGGGGTCTTCAAGATTTGTAACTTGTAACCTTGTAATTTGTAACTTTATAATAGCATTCCTTCCCCAATGGATCCAGACCAATTCCTCTAACTTTCTGGCCAGGAGGAGGTTGACACTATTCAATTAGGGCATGCAGGAAAGAGGTAGTACAGTGGTGCCTCGCTTAATGATGTTAATTGGTTCCCAAAAAAACATCGCTATGGGAAAACATCGCTAAACGAAACACCATTTCCCATAGGAATGCATTGAAAACTGGTTAATCCATTCCAATGGGAACGGATTACCGTCCTTAAGTGAAAATCGCCATAGGAAACATCGCTAAGCAAAACAATGTTTCCCTCATTGGAATACATTGAAGCCTATTCAATGGTTTTGCGATGTCCGTTTTCGCTATTTTTAAAGTGTCTTAAAATGTTCAAAAACTTTTAAATACTTGGGATCGTTAGTGCACCTTGTAAAACCTTTGCAGACTTAATTTGGCTTTGTTGTGACTCTTCTTTAATTTTTGGCAAAAAAATTTCTCCCCCATTGGAATGCATTGAACTGCAGTCAAGCATTCCAATGCGGGAGGAAAAAAATTCGCCAAAAATTAAAGAAGAGTCAGAACAAAGCTAACCATAGCTTTGACTATGCAGACCTTTGTCGGCAAGGAGATGTTTCTGCTTTTTAAAATGCTGTCTAGGTTTGTCATCACTTTCCTCCCAAGAAGCAGGCGCCTTTTAATTTCCTGGCTTCTGTCACCATCTGCAGTGCTCATGGAGCCCAAGAAAGTAAAATCTGTCACTACCTCCATGTCTTCCCCTTCTATTTGCCAGGAGGTGATAGGACCAGTGGCCATGATCTTAGTTTTTTTGATGTTGAGCTTCAGACCATTTTTTTTGCGCTCTCCTTTTTTACCTTCATTAAGAGGTTCTTTAATTCCTTCTCACTTTCTGCCATCAGAGTGGTATCATCTGCATATCGGAGGATGTTGATATTCCTTTTAGCAATCTTAATTCCAGCTTGGGATTCCTCCAGTCCAGCCTTTCGCATGATGTATTCTGCATTTAAGTTAAATAAGCAGGGGGACAATATACAGTACAGCAAATAAGCAGGGGGACAATATACAGCCTTGTCATACTCCTTTCCCAATTTTGAACCAAATCACTTGTGCCATATCCAGTTCTAGCTGTTGCTTCCTGTCTCACATATAGATTTCTCAGGAGATAGATAAGGTGGTCAGGCACTCCCATTTCCATCCATAGTTCTTGAGGCACTCTGTCCACCAAATTTAGTTCCTTAAATATGTTCTTCACTTCCACTGTATATTCATAAGGTATTTGGTGTAGATTATACCTGATTAGTCCAGTGGTTTTTCCTACTTTCTTCAGTTTAAGCTTGAGTTTTGGTATAAGAAGCTGATGATCAGAGCCACAATCAGCTCCAGGTCTTGTTTTTGCTGACTGTATAGAGCTTCTCCATCTTTGGCTGCAAAGAACATAATCAATCTGATTTCAATATTGCTCATCTGGTGATGTCCATGTGTAGAGTCACCTCTTGTGTTGTTGGAAAAGAGTGTTTGTGATGACCAGCTTGTTCTCTTGACAAAACTGTATTAGCCTTTGCCCTGCTTTGTTTTGAACTCCCAAGACCAAATTTATCTGTTGTTCCTTTTATCTTTTGACTCTATACTTTAGCATTCCAGTCCCCTATAATGACAAGAACCTCTTTCTTTGGTGTCATTTCTAGAAGGTGTTGTAAGTCTTCATAGAAATGGTCAGTTTCAGCCAGTATTGGTGGTTGGTGCATAAGCTTGGATGACTGTGATGTTGAAAGGTCTGCCTTGGATTCATATTGAAATCATTCTGTCATTTTTGAGATTGTATCCCAGTACAGCTTTTCCCACTCTTTTGGGAAAAGAGTCTTTGAGACTTTGTAGAGTTTAAGTTGATTTCTACCATAGCATGCCCTTCCATCTAAAACAGTTCAAATGAGGAAGCTTGAGAGGAAGTACAGTGGTGCCTCGCAGAACGGGTGCCTCGTAGAGCGATGAATTTGCTCTACGAGGCTGGTTTTGCGATCGCAAATGCGGTGCCTGCATAGGGCGAAAATCGCAGAGCGAAGGGCTGTAAGCGGTTCGCTTACTGACCTTCGCTTTGCGACCTGCCGATCAGCTGTTCGGCGGCTACAAAATGGCCACTGGAAGCCCCAAAATGGCCGCGTGCAGCGTTTTTGCGCCCTCGTAAGGTGAGGGGAGGGCACGAAAATGGCTGCCGGCCATCCTGAAGCATCGCTGAACGGTGCGTATTTGGCCCAATTGGAACGCATTAAACCATGTTTAATGCGTTCCAATGGGTTTTTACATTCCATTCAACGATGCTTTCACACAGCGAGGGTTAATCCGAGTCTTTGAGACTTTGTAGAGTTTAAGTTGATTTCTACCCTTCCATCTAAAACAGTTCAACTGAGGAAGCTTGAGAGGAAGTACTTGGTTGTCGGTGAAGGTCACCCATTCTCAATGGGGGCGTATGGTCCCCTGGGAGGCCCCTGATACATTTGAAGCGGGCCATAGACTGGAAACAATTCTTCACACAGCGAGGGTTAATCCGGAACGGATTATCCTCGCTGTGCGAGGCACCACTGTACTTGGTTGTTGGTGGAGGTTACCCATTCTCAATGGGGGCATATGGCCCCCTGGGAGGCCCCTGATACATTTGAAGGGGGCCATAGACTGGAAACAATTCTTCACACACCACCTTTTAAGGTTCATTATGCAACTTTTAAATCCTGATTTGACCTATATTTCTTTCACATTGTGTCATAGCCAAGAAAAGATTGAGAATGGCCAGTGTAGATGTTAAACAAAACAGGAGCCCGTATGCTGTACTGGGGCACACTATTCTTCTGAAACCTCCATTGGCTGCATTGTACGTGAATTGTCCAAATCTGTGAATTCTGCGAATTGTGCAAAAGAGTTGCAATTGCATCGGTTCGTTTAGAACCCTTGGTTAGATTACAGAATTGTTTTAGTAGTACTTGATGATCAACAGTGTCATAGGTGGCCAAGAGGTTAACAAAGGCTATCCTTAAGATCTTCCTATTCAAATGAACTGGCTGAATTGCCTATAGAGAATCAGAACAGCCATGGATGCATTTCAGGCAAATCTGAAATGGCTACAGTTCTCCTTGAAGTGGTAAAACTGTGTCTGGCCAAGAACACTGCAGACTGACATGACAGAATGATCTTTTAGATGCAGAACCAATTCATGTGCCTAGAAAACCAGAACCGAGTGAAAACTAGCTCCTTTCCCCTCCATTTTAGGGTTTTGCTTCCAGGGGGAGTACTTATTTCAGGCAAACCCTAAAATGGAGCTAAGCCGTTTGAAAGTGGATCTTGCAGAGTAATTCAGGGAGTCCGGTTCTGTGGGAGCAGCAGGTCTCTATACCCACCTGCCTGTCTTTTACGTTGGGAGCATGCAACAGAGCAGTAAAAGTGAAAAGTAAAAGCCACCTGCAGAGCAGAAGGAATGACGGTGTCCATCGTTCCCAGATAGTCTCTGAGACTGATGTTCCCAGAGTCCCCCTCTTGCTATTATGCTGACTAGTGACTAGCTTTGAATCTGTATTTTTTTAAAAATGAAGAGAAATACTGTGGAAGAAACCCTACTGCTTCCATGGTAGTCCTCCTCTCTTCAAAACCGCTGCGGGAGGTGAAATTGCAATGTTGGAGACAGCATCCAGTCCCGCACTGACGAATGGGATGATGGAATGGGAGTGATCATTATGGATCTGGACTATCCTTACCCCAACCTTTAATCCTCTATATGAAGGGAAATGGAAGTGTTTCTAGTCATGCCATATCCCACCTGGATTGTTGTTCTCAGACATGCTTTCTTGAGAAATCCATCAGAGAGGCATTTTTAATTTCAACAGTGATTCCTAATAAGTTAACGTTTTCTTCTGTATTAGGTAATGGAAATGTATCTTCCATTTTGTGGGATCGCCATATCTAATGCTCAGCTGTTTGCGGCTTCCAGGAAGGAGTACGATAGAAGCAGAGTAAGTAAAAAAAAGAGCAATTTAGGCTGCCTAAGTATATAATATAGAGACATACAGTTTTAATTCATACATCAGCTTATAAAATTATAACATGGAGAAGTGTGAAGTGTTAAATTAATGACACAGAAATTCTTAATGCTTTGATTAGTGAGCAATTTTTGTTAATATTTTAAAATATGCAATATTCATATAACTTTGGTCAACAATGTTTGTAGATTGGCATCAGCATTGTTTTGTGCTACCTGCAACAGATCTTCTATAAGTAAAAACGCAATCCTATATACATCTAATCAGTCCTTATTACTATTATACTATGCATACACTTACCAGTGAACAACCAGGTCCGGTAAATGCCTGTGAACTTTGTTCTGAGTAAATGTGGAAAAGATTGCAGAATAGACCAGTCTTCCCAATCTTCATCCTTTCACTTCACATTCAGTGGATATTGGTATCTTGCAGTTACCTTTCCAGCTTTGGCTTTGCTCATATTTTTACTCCATATAAAAATAATTCCTTCCACTGATGTTGTTGAATGAAAATTTGTGGGATTTAAATGGCAACTGCTCCATGTTTCACTAAAGTTTTATAAAAAGTTACTCAGGGAGGCCCATGGTCCGATGCAGACTTTAACACAGTGGGAGGGTTTGAGTGTGTCAGAAAACTTGATAGCAGTGTCATTAGGAGGTGAGACCCCCCCATTACAAATCTGGACTCTGAGAAGAGTTATCCAAGGTAGAATGGTCAGAGCTGAGACCCCAGACTTAAGAGGCATCTTCAGGAATTAGTGGATGCATCTAGGAGTGTGCTTTTTTTGTGATGTTTTTGGATGGCAACCCCCAATATTCTCCACGCATTCCTTGGGCATAATTCAGGGAACAGCAGCCCATAAGCACAAACAAGCTACTGGTTGGTCATTCACTCCCACTGTCATGTGACTGTCCAGTGGGGACCAGGCCTTCCTGGGTGCTGGGAGTTGTAGTCACACTGCCCATTAGGTTCTATTAGAAGGTGTATCTCTGGGAACTGTGACTCTCAGGAAGCACCATGGTAGCTTCCTTTTTCTTTTTAAGGAATGCCGAGCTGACGGTGAGAGCACAGCAATGGTGGAGGTAAATGACCTAAAAGCTGCAGGTGTGTACATGTGTGGTTGGTAGGCTACGACTATTCTGCCTGGGAAATTCTTAGAAAATTCTGGGGGTTGCAGTCCAAAACTATGAAAGAGTACACACCTAGGTTTCGGGTCTTTCATTTAGACCCCGAAGGCCCATCCCTAAATATGAGGGGTGATAAGTCTAATTCATAGACTCACCATGGAATCAGAAGCAGTTTGACAGTCGGTAATAACAATTCAGTCAAGATATTAATAGTTTTGAAACACAGCTTATATAAATTGAGATGTCTCCACTTTTTCTAAACAGGTTTCGGAGTTTTTAGCTGTTCTATTTTTGCCTAATATTTGCACATTGACATGGAGAATGTAATGTAATGCCAGGGTGCTGTACAGAGGCATAAAATAATTGATCTCTTTAATGTCTAGTGTAACTCCAAAGACATAGTTGACTGGTACTGAGAATTAATTTGACACATTATATTAAAACATATCAGGTGTGTCAGGACCAAAGAGAAACTAATTTACATTATGACACACATAAATTACAGAGTGGAATCTGAAGGTGTGAAGTTGTGACCTTATCATCAAAATAAATGAGTTTTACAACATCTCTAATTTTAGAACTCACGCAGATGGAAAAGTAGTGCCTCAGTCTGGCGCACAGTTATATAAATCTAAAAGCCACTGCTTATATCAGATTTGTGCAGCTAGGAGCTACAGTGCAGTTGTTGCCTTCTGGGAATCCCCAAACATAGCACCTCCAGATGTTTTAAACAACAACTCTCATCAGCCCCCAGACATTGGCTACGGATTGTGAGAGCTGGCATTGAAAATATCCGGATGCGCCATGCTGGGAAAAGCTGTGCTGAAGTATGTTAAAGCTGCGTTATCTGTGACTGTAGATTCATCTTCAGTAGCCCTAGCAAAATTAATTAATTTTCACTGCTAACGGGCGCAGGTAATAATTGAGGTAGTGTCTTACCTTGCTCTGCTAAGAACACCAGAAATGTTTCAGCTGGCCTCTTAGAGGGGTAGTTGCCCTGTGGTTTTTTTTGGTTTTGTTTTGTTTTGTTTTTGCAGCTAAATTACATTTACAAACAAATATAACAGAGGCTCTGTAACTCGTATTTTTTTACAGCTTTGTTTGCGGATATTCTGCTATGCTTTCATGACTTTCTGAAATAGATTGTGACAGCTTTCCATTTCCTGTTTACAGGCCTTGCTGGAGGTGGTGAATGATCTCTTTGAAGAACAAACAGACCTAGAGAAAATTGTAAAGAAGATTATGCATCGAGCTCAAGCACTGCTGAAGTGTGAGCGCTGCTCTGTATTGCTTCTGGAAGACATTGAGTCACCCGTAAGGAGCATTTCACGTTTGGACAATATATGATATAGTAGCGATGGGATATATGTTTCTCCTAAGGCAGTGGATCCCAACTTTGGGCAACCCAGCTGTTGTTGGACTGCAACTCCCAGAATCCGCAGGCAGTAGAGCTAGTGGTGAAGGCTTCTGGGAGTTGCAGTCTAAGAACACAAGGTTGGGAACCACCGTCCTAAGGAATAGCTTTAGTGTACTATCTATGTTCCTGTTTTATGATTTTGCTTTCAAGATTAAGCTGAGTCATATATACTGTATATAATTGCTGGATAGCTCAATGGCTTAGGCCTCTGGCTACAGAGCCAAAGGTTGGGAGTTCAGGTCCCCATCTGCGCCTCCTTGAGAGGGGCTGGACTCGATGATCCATAAGGTCCCTCCCAACTCTGCAGTTCAAAGGTTATTATTAGTACAGTGGTGCCTCGCTTAACGAGTGCACCGTACAACGAAGAATCCGTATAGCGATCCCTTTTGGGGGATCGCTGTACGGAGCTGCCCCAATCGCCGCACTCGCTTTGCGACGATTGGGGTGTCCGGCGGCCATTAAAATGGCTGCGGACGACCCGAAATGCCCCCCCTGCAGCGTTTTCGCGACCTCGGTAAGCAAGGGGAGGGCGCGAAAACACTGACGGGGGCCATTTCGGGTCATCCGGCGGCCATTTTGGAGCGGCTCCAAAATGGCCGCCGGACCGCGAAAACATCGCTGGAGGGGTAAGTTTTGGCGCCTATTGGAACGCATTAAACTAAGTTTAATGCGTTCCAATAGGCTTTTCCTGCCCCGTACAGCGATGTACGCTATACGGGGCGCCACTGCATTATTATACTAATATAATATGCAGTATTATTATACCTTCATACAGGGGTTGGCAAATGTTGGGCTGTCTTAATGGTCATGCCAAAAGTTTTACTTGCCAGCCCCCCATCATTGCTTTTAGTCTCTGTTGCCACCATTTCCTCAGCAAAAGCCAGGGGAGGAGGGAAGCCTGTAGAAATGGGCCTCCTCCTTCAGATAGCCCAGTTTTTCCTGAGTGAAACTCAAGCTGGGCTAGGCATGTGTGAACTCTGCTCTCAACTGTGTCCCTTTCATCCCACTCCAAAGCATGAAGGACGAGCTGAAGGAAGAATTGGCCTTTCCCCCTTAATGGCTAAGGCTGTTCAGATACTTTCCCCATTTATTTCAACAAGAAGCAAAACAAAACCCAAAAATGTTGTGGCACCTTAAAGACTAACTGCTGTACTTTGGTGTAAGCTTTCCTGGAACATGTCCACTTGACGTCAGACTTAGAATAAAGAAAGTACATGGTAAAACATTGATGCAAGGGTTTAAGATAAATGGACATTGGTGTTTGGTTGCATTTACTGCCAGCCTTGGAGCTGAGTAGCTGGAAGAGCCACCCAGCTGCTAAGATGATCCCACCCACTTCTGCAACTTCAGTATCCGAAACTCTACAGACACGTTGTGCGCGTGTTTTCCAAAAGATGCCCCTTTGCTTTTCGAAATAAAAAAAAAGGAAGAGTTTGGAGTTAGCAAAGAATGTCACTGGAAACCAATGTCAAAAGCATCCATACTATGTGAAAGAATGAGAAGTGAAGAAAGAGACAAAAATAAACTCATTTGAAATGTGGCGTTGGTACAGATAATAAAGACAGCCAAAAAAGCATTAAAGTAGGTGCTCAATCAAGTCAAACCTGAATTCTCACTCAAGCAAAAGTGAGTAACCTAAGCCTATCCTGCAATGCACATGTAATGGAAATATAGAAGTGACCAGAATGGATTATATTGTGGGAAAAATAGGGTGGACAAGTAGTCAAAGAGGAAGATCTAATATGCGATGAGTTGGCTCTATAAAGGAAGCCACAGCTGTTAGGTTGCAGAATCTGAGCAGAACTTAAAAGAAAAGACAATATTGCTAGGACCAGGGGCGACTGGAAGAGAGAGCAACCTAATGTGAGTTGCTGGTGCTTTACAAGATCTGAACAGAGTTCGTAATGATAGGACGTTTTGGAAGTCAGTAACTCATATAGAGCGAGAAAGGCAGGGGGAAAGGGAACATTCATCCCAGTGTCCTCCTCATGCTGCAGCTGTCCTTAGCTTCTGTCTCCTTACTCACAAGTAAACTGGATAAACGCATTGATTAGTAAACTGGGTAGCCTTACTCATGAATAAGCTGGGTAGAATTACTCATGAGTAGATCAGGTAAAACTTCCCTTGAGATCATCCCCAGCCATAAAGCCAAAAAACAAAACAAAACAAACAAACAAAATCACCAATATTTCCACAGCTTAAATGAGTGAGCTTCAAAATATTATTTTCTGTTTTTTTAAAAAATATCTTTTAAAATGTTTTCACAGGAATAAGTTTAAAATGCTTGGCCAGGAAGGAGTTAAATGCTTTCATTGACGGTCATTGAATGGATTTCTGAATGGCAGGGTCAAAAGTTCAGTCCTAAAGAATGTAGGCATCTTATAAGAGAAAGCTCATAAAACTAGCCTTGCTTTAAAATTGCTACTTTGGAACTATCAGTTAGGGCCATGAATGGCTCAATTGCCTGGAACTAAATAAAGCAGAAGGCAGGCACATTTGCCCATATCAGTTTATTTGATCTGTTTTAAATTGGCTGGAGTTCTGGGTCGCTTGGTTCTGCATGGGGCAAAAACAGTGTTACATTTTAAAAAGTCATAACTCAAAAACTGTTTGCTCAAATATCCCCAACTTTGGCACAGAACAAGCACAGACCTTCTGCTACATCAGTGCTAAAGTTGGTGTTGATGCGAGGTCCAGTGTCATAGTTACAGTTTTTTGTTTGGGGCACCCCTATTTTTTGGAGTTGGCTTACAGAATGCTGAATGATGCTGGCTGCACAATATATTGACGCCTGACTGGGCATCAGTAATGTAGTTCTCCTGGCTGCAGTAACTGCATGTGCAGAAATGTCTGGGAGCCTTAGGCAGAACAGTGCTGGGATTTTCGAGGTGCAGAGGGAAAAAGACTTGCCAATCTGAGAAGCAGATCATCTGTATGCAGACCAGTTCCATGTAATCAATTCAGTAACTGCATTTTTACTGTGTGTTCCCTTTATAGAGGATCTGAGCATATAATTCAAGGACTAGGTAAAATTGCAGTGGAACTGGCACTTGATAAAAAAATATTGGTGCCAAAACTGTAAGGATGGAACGGACACAGATCACAACAATAGCTTAGAAATCAATCCCATTTATTATCCCTCTTTTATTAAGCCCTCATTGCCCCTCAAACCACTTAGAACACAACAGAATGGTCTGGAACTGCATCTCTGAGTAGGACAAGCTAAGCAAAATTCATCAGTCACATGCAGCTGGAGGATGCTGATGCAGCAAGCCACAAAACATCTCAGGAACAACTTTCCAGGCAGAAAATCGATACTAAGGAAAACAGATCAGAATGACAACTTCCAAGTAGGACAACTGAACAAAATTCACCCTCCTCGTGAGATTAGACGGGCCTGATATAATAAGCTGTGACACATCCGCAGGAACTATATTCCAATACCCATTCAAGCCAACAAATTACATGTTCGCTGTAGCTGACCCCAGTCAGCGGTCTGGCTGCAACGTTTTGAAGCAACTGAAGTTCACAAACACTCTTGAAAGACAGCCTCACGTAGAGCACAGAACACATCGCAGTGATCCAGAAGAGATGCAACCAAGACACATGTCAACATGGCCAGTTCAGACATCTCCAGGGACCAGCAAAGGTGGTGCAATAGCGTCAGCTGCCCATGTGCACTTTTGGCCTGTGTCGAAACTCGGGTACGAATCCAGGAGGAGCCTTAATTTGCAAAGCTGACATTTCCAGGGTAGTGTAACTCAGGACAGACTGAATCTTTATTCTGTGGTCTTCCTGTAGTATATATAAATCCAGCTACATAATTTGGCTGCTGTTGACTCTCTGGACATAATCCAGCATCTCAGTATCATCTCTGGCTTTGATACTAAGTTTAAAGAGTGCCTCTTTGCTGTCTTGTTTTCTACTGCCTAAGGATCTTTGGGCTAAAATATCACCAGGTGTGAGAGGACCAACTAAGTTTACTGTGGGACTTGTATTGTCTAAGATGGAAGACTCATTGTTTCTGACTTTCTAATCCCCAATTCCAGCAAGGCTGTAAATTGTCCAGGGTATCACTCTTGCATCACTTGATGACTCTTATTTGATCTTCTGCATAGCTTTCCTGCTCATTATATCTCAAGCCAACATACAGACTGCAGGGATTTCTCGAGTCTTCTCTCTGCCTTCCCTTCCTTCTGTAACAACAAGATCTGTAATCTTGACAACTTGCACAGTTCTCTGTGCCTTTTCTTTTTCTTTTTTCTTTTGGTTGGCCCACTAAAAGTATGGATTTTGGTCCTTGAGTCTATTTATGCTTGATTTGGGCTCCTGAGCGTGTGGTCTGCCGGGTTAGCTGCAGCATAAGCAATAGCTCTCCACTTTTGTGGGGTTTTGAGTCCAAAGCTGTGTCCTCCAGAAGGCTAGCTTTCACACTTTCAGCACTTTTTAGAAATAACATAAATATTGAATTGACAGTGTTGCCCATCTGACCATTGTTGATGCCTGCAGCACACTCAGAGAAGTAGGAAAGCTCAGAATCAGACAAAGATGAGCACCCTTTCCCCCTCTTCTTTTTTTTCTTTTTTTTAAACACAGGCTGGATATCCTTTTCTGCCTTCAGCAATTCTGCCTCCTTTCCATATTTGCCTGTTGGAAGAATACAACGGTATCATTGAAATTTTAGTAGCTTGCACTTCTGTTATCGACTGCCTTCTCAGTAGTACTGCTTCATCAGATATGTGGCTTAAACTAATGGTTACAATTCACAATGTTGACAGGCCAATTTTAGAGAGAGAAATCTCTGGTATCAACATTGAAGCTCTTATTGTGGACTCCACAGAGAATCAATGTTTTGCTGGGTGCTTCTAAATTAGGTTTTATTGTAGAACGATCCTGC